GCTGCAGTAGAGCACCTTAGGAGGCTGTAAACACTCAGTAGCTCAGAGATTTTGATTTCTCAATTTGAGCTATGCACAGTTAGCTAGCGCTCTGAGAGTATAGAGCACTTTAAAAATGCTTGTTTATTATTATTATTAGCTGCAGTACAGCCCCACACCCACCACAATGGGGGAAAAATTCTTTTCTTGTTTTCAAAGCGTGTGCAGGATTTTTTTTCACATGGGTCATTTTGTACACAGGGTCCACTGCTTGAATGCCTCATTTGTTTGTTTGGGATGTGTGTGGAGGGTGGTGAAAATAACAAATTATGCACCCATTAGACACCTCATTAGATATGAGACCTGGGTTAACAATGCACTTGCTATTCAACATAATCCCACTTAAATCAGATTCAATATCCAACATATTATTGTTAAGATTTGATATCAATGCTGGAATAAATTGCCGGATTTTATTAAGTCTAAAGAAGGGTACTGGTAGCAAATTGTCCCAGAAACAAAACTGAGAAATTTTATGAAGTTATTGTCTGTTAATTTGCAAGGGAAACATTTTATGCACTAAGTAAAACAAAGTCCTTAATTACCTTTCATTTTCTTTTATTTCAAAACTGAGTTTTTCTACCTTTATAATAATAATAATAAACAAGCACCAGAAATGAGAGACATTGCTTACATGGTGTGTAGTATCAACTGGTGATTCAACTGGTGATTAGCTTATATTGTACTACAGTATATGCATTTTTCTAGATTACCATAAATTGTACTGTGTGTGGCTTTGTGGGAACACATATTCATATAATGTACATATTTTTTTTGTTATTTTCTTTGAGTATTATTAATATAGATAATAATACTGTAAATTAAAAAAGTTACTATCTTGTGGTTTACTATTATAGCCCATGAAAGCTCAAGAAATTGACAGTAATTTAATTGCATAAACAGTGTAGTACAAAGCTGTCATGCTGGTCAATTTCCGTACAAAATCCATTCAGTTGCTATTAATAATAATATAGTCATTAAGCACAGCATTCACGTAGCGAAGTGCTGCCATGCTACCAGATTCCTTAAAAACTGCTAAAGACCATGGAAACCCCGGTTCCAAAAGTGGTCTTTAATTGGAGGGTGACCTCTAATAGAATGAATAATAATAATTCTTCCTGCTCATTGATCTACACAGCTAAATTGTTTTAAAACCATGAAATACTTCTGGCAAATCCTCATCACAATATATTATTAGTTCTTGTTTACAGCTTTGAGAACACATCCAAGAAATTAAAACCTAGATTTCAACATCAATGTTTGGTAGAACTTTTGTGATGACTCCTGTGCCAAGAGTGATGCGTCCATCACGAAGAGTAAAGCGCTGTCCTATCTGAGTCACCATAGGTTTCTTCAGTTGTAGAATGATGTTTGTATCTTCTCCTGTTAAATACACAAACGTTAGTCATTATTAAAATATAGAAGGTATAAGAGTCTTTTTTAGGCTTTGAGAGTGAAGTTGTTTCATAGTCATGAGAAAAAAATGTGGTTAAAAGGATTTGAACCTAGGACCCTAGAATTGGCGGAAGTCGAACAACTCTCAACATCACCACATTATTTGTCTTTGATGAGGAATATTGCAATATTGATCAATTTGTGTGAGCTCCAGTATTTGCTTTTAATATTTTTTAGTAAATATAGAATACCTTTTCTATAAATATTTTGTCACACCACAGTGGGAGTACTACAACCTTTTTTTGTGAAGTTTTGTTGCTAGAAGAATTTATGGAGGACCCAGAATTGTTTTCCCTAAGCAGTCCCCCATTATAACAATAATAAAGGAGAGAAAACAATTTCTGAACACTCCTTTAACTGATCTCAAATTCAGTACAGTTTCTTTTTTTTGGGCAATAACAAATAAAGCTCTGCCCAGATTATCAAATTTTGACCAAAAAAAAAACCAGTTGTATGCTCATATATACCTAAGTCTCAATGTTCCTATATATGGTCTTGATGTGATGTCATCATGACCATATTTAGGCTTATCACATGATTTAGCCAAAAAATATTTGACAGACTGGACAGGGCTTAAGGATGAATGCACATGCGTACCTGGCATCACCATTTCTTTATTATCAGGTAGCACAATCCTTGCAGAACAGTCCCATGTATGAGAGAACATCACAGGTGAGAAATTGGTCATAAACGGCTTATGTCTGCCACCTTCTTCAGGTTTCAATAAATAAACCTAATATTCACCACAAAATATGAATAGAGCAATGCATCAATCATCAATGAGAATAACAACTAGAACTTTAATAAATATGACAAAAGACTGTATGAACATAAATATAAAATAAAAACTAACTGTAGTAACAGTTATTCAGGGTTACCAGTGGTGGCGCCAGAGAGGGCTGGGGGGCTATAGCTTTTCATCACAACAACAACAACAACAACAACAACAACAATAGTAATTCAGACTAATTAAAAATAATTTGCGTTCTGTTATGACAAATGCTCATTTAGATAGCCTCATGATGGTTGGAATACATCGTGATAGGTGAAGCAACCAAACTATAGAATTTCACTTTCAAGAATGAGGATTTGAAAATAAATTAAATGGTTACATTGCATACTCTTTTTTTCTTGCTTTATTCAAAATGTTTGGTTTTGGAAGCTGATTGCAACATTAGAAAGCATAGCCTACATGAAGTCATATTATAGTAACTCGATGCCTATCAAATAAGTAATAAAAATTCGCCATAATTCATCAAATGTCCGTGGCCCTAGGCGGCCCCCTGGCCCCCAGCCAAGTGAGACTAGATTCGCTCCACTAGCGCCCCCATCCCCGTTGGGGCCTTTAGCCCCTCCGTTGGGCAGGTCCTGGTGCCATCACTGAGGGTTACATATTGGGATTTTATCTATGGTTAGCACAGCAATTTGCTTAAAGCTCTCTCCAGATTATCACATTTTCTTTGACAAAAAAACTGTTGTATGCTCATATATTGTCATGATGTGCCTATAAGTATATATGCTCATTATGTGATGTCATCATGACCATATTTAGGCATGTCACATGTTTTTGCCAAATAAAATGTGCTAGTCTGGACAGGGCTTAAGATGTGCTAACATTTTGTTTGTAAACTGAAGATAATGTATTCTATAGCAAGAGTGCATGCAATACTATGTGCAAGTTAGTAGTACAATTGCTGAATATTCATATCAAACTATTGTAGTTTGAATGTATATGTTGATGAAAAGACACAGTGATCGTGTGGTTTATTGTTGCTATTTTAAACAAAAACTTCATTGCAACTGCGAAAAACCTGACAGTGTGCAATTATTACTGAAAAAGAAAAAAAACTAGCATACAAAATAATACATGATTTTAGCAATGCTAGGCCAAGACATACTATGACTTCTATCAAGTGGTTGTTATCAGATTCTGGTTATTTAGATTTTTATGTTTTTGCAGCCTTAAATCAACAACCTCTATCTTTTTTGAAAATTCATAAAATGCAAACGATAGTACAAAATGTTGAATGTTATTCAAGATTTATAAACTGCAGGTATATAAAGTTATACATGTTTTGACCTTTGACATGCATGCCCAATATTAGATGATGTATTACTAACAGCTTCAAAGAAATTTGTATATTTTGAATACATAGGATCATGCTCTTATCTTACTTCAGTAATTTTTTAGTCAAAGTCAATTGAATTAGAACTATAGTAATTAATACAAGAATACCAAATCTAACCTGTGCTTCACAATGATTATTTGGGTTAAGAATGCCAGGTTTGCTAACAACCATTCCTCTCCTTACTTCATCTCGCTTTACTCCTCGCACCAAAACTCCTAGCTGATCACCAGCTTGCCCCTGGTCTAAAATCTTGTGAAACATTTCAATGCCTAGGAAAGAAAATCAAAGAGAAAAAAAAATATATGAATAAGAAAAAAATGGGTAGGTAAAATGGATGATAGAGAGATGGTCTAAGACAGGGGTGGGCATAAAAATCGGTCGAAAGGCCAAAGTGATTTTCTGATTTAACACCAAGGGCCGCACCCAAACTTGTTTCTAGTGCGCTTCCAAAAATCTCCAAGCACTACTTTTTCACCACTTTATTCCCAGTTTTAATATTACTTCTTACTATGATCAGTGTCGGGCCGTAAAAAACAAGGTGTTTTATAGCCAATGTTGCTTGGCAGGCCACATACATAGGGTTTTTAATTCATATACGCAGGCCGCAAAAAAATCGCTGTCAGGCCGTATGCGGCCCCAGTGGGCCGCACTTTGCCCACATGTGGCCTAAGAGCATAAATGGTAAACCATGGGTAAGAATAACCAAAAATATTAAAATAATATATTAAAGCATATAAGGCGTCATCTCCACTGATTTTCTGATGACAGAATCGTGTTCTAACGCGTTTTCTATTGCATTCGGACAAGCTATCCTAACACACCTAGAAATGCCATTATCCAGGGTGCATTTATTGCCCATTTATTCATATTATAATATTAATAATAAAAACTTTATTTGACTTCCGAAACACTTGTTCACCACAATGGTGCTTTTCAACAAGGCTGTAAAGGCATTGTATAACTCAACCAAACAGAAATTTTAAAAATGGTAAAAATAACCTGTTAAAAAAAGAAAATCACATTAGGGCCTACTGAAAGAAACTTAACTACGTTAACTATAACTGAATTATCTTAAATACACATACATCATTAACTATAATACTTTATTGATTTTTTTTTTTTTCGTTTTAAAATTGGAAATTGTATTTGAGTTTTTGAGGTCATCACTAAGTACATTCCATAATTTAGCACCTCTGCATGATAAGCTACGTTTTTTATAACCTGTTCTTGGTTTGGGTAGTGTTAAATGATTTTCAGATCTGGTGTCATAGGGACAAGATTTAATATGGAATCTGCTTGTTAGGTAAGTTGGTGCTAAATTATTGGTAATTTTGAACATAGTGATGGCCTCATTTTGATACAGCCTCCTCTCAAGGTTATCTAAGTTATGGCTCCGTAAGGCCTCCCTGCTAGACTCGCTCCTGGTCCTCCTAGTTATTATTTTGGCAGCTCTGTTTGCATGACCAGAAGTTTGTAACTTTGAGATGCATTTGAGCACCCCCCGACAACATGGCAGTATTCAAAATGGGGAGCGATTAGTGATTTATACATTGAGCATTGAATATCTTTTGGTAAAATATTTGCTTTTTTCAGGTAGTAGAGTCCTTGCAGTACCTTACCTTTTACATATTCAGTATGGTCATTCCAAGAGAGGTTATCATCAATTATGATACAAAGGTGTTTGCAATGCTTTACACATTTGATCTTTTTTTGCCCATCAATATTTAAATTTTTATTTTAAATCATTAATTTGTACAAGTTTTTGAGAAGAACCTACGACCATATACCGGTACTCAGTTTTCTCTACGTTTAAGCTAAGTTTGTTTCTGATGAGCCAGTTTTTAATTTTATTTAGGTTAACATTGAGAGTTTCAACTACATCATTTATCAGATGAGTAGTATAAACCTGCATCATTTGCATACAAAGAAACTTTACAATTTTGGATATCTTGAGGCAAATCGTTTATGTACAGTAGAAATAACAATGGCCCAAGAATAGAACCCTGTGGGATACCACAGACACTTTTACATTTGTTTGAGGAAACACCATTGACACTTATAATATGATTTTTATCAAGCAAGTAGTGCTTAAACCAGTTTATAACATTTTCATGAAGGTTAAATGATTGTTGTTTTTAAGTCATGGTTGACAGTGTCAAATGCTTTTTTGTACTTCCCTTTATCAATGGATTCGAGTCATTCTTCTGTCAGATTAAGAAGAGCAAAAGTAGTAGAGTATCCAGGTCTGAAACCTGATTGATGTTCATTTAACAATTTTGTTCGAAGACTACTCTTTTAAGAATTTTAGATAGGACAGGGAGAATTGAAATAGACCTGTAGTTGCTTTTTTTCTGCTTTGTCTCCCCTTTGTAGATGGGACATATTTTAGCGCTTTTCCATTTAGCAGGGAATATTTATCTAAATAGAGATAAATTTATTAAATAGGTGAGTGGATATACTATTAAATCTTTTGCCAGGTTTATGAAGTAGGCAGGAATCATGTCATTTCCAGTGGCTTTTTTGATTGAGATAAAATTTAGTAAATTATACATATATTCATAGCCAACTTTTTAAAAATTAAATTTTTCAGTATTTAAAACATTTATGTTCTGTTGAGATTTGTCAGTGATTTCAGGAATGCTTTTTGCAAGATTTGGACCCACATTAGAAAAATATTCATTCAGCGCATTAGCAATATCACTAGAATTTGAGTATGTGGCGTATTCAGTTTTGAGATTTGTTATATCAGTATTTTTACTTTTACCAGGGACAAGGAGTCTTATGTTTTCCCAGATCTTTTTAGGGTTTTTGGTATTAATCTGATCTGAAAAATATTCTTTTTTGCATTGTTTAAGTTCAGAATTAACTTCGTTTCTTTTAGCTCGATATACATCCCATAATTCTGCATCATTTTTTCCAAATAGCTTTCTGTTTGGATGCATCCCTTTCTTGCATGCTTTTCAGCAAGTCTTTGGTTAACCAAGGGCTTTGTTTATATCGCACTCTTCTTTTTTTTGACTGGTACATTTGTTGGCCAGTTTGCAGAATTTTCTTTCAAAGTCTTTAAAAGCATCATCTACATTATCTTGTCTAGAAAATTCCATCCAATTTACATTTAATAAATCTAGTTTGAAATTCAATTCGTTAAGGTTTTTGAAGCTCCTACTTGTTTTATATCTGTGATTATTGACAGTCCTCTTTTGTTTAAATTACAAGCATATATCATAGAATGATCACTTAGACCACTGTGTAAAACACCAGCCTTACTTACTTTCTCTGGACTAGAGGCATATACATGGTCTATCAGGGTAAAGGAATTATTTGTAATTCTTGTTGATTTGTTATTAATTAACAATTTAAGATGATGATTAGATGAAATTTCATTTAACCTATTAGTGTAACAAGAAGGAGTGTTTGATTTAACATCGCAATTCAGACCACCATTAATTACCACTTCATTATTTGAGTTGGTGATTTCAATTCGCCTAGTGTATACTCAAAAATTTCAAATAGATTGATACTAGAGTTTTTTTTTTTGGGGATACTAGAGTTTTTTTTTTTTGGGGGGGGGGGGCCATACCAGGCTAATAAAAGTATTGGTTTTATTTTTTGTTGCGTAATTTCTATGACAATTAGTTCAAGCTGGGGTTTCATAATATTTTCAGGAATTGTATATGTAAAACCACTATTTTTATTGACATATATTGCAACTCCACCACGATCGCGATTTCGGTCCCTCCTGAAAATATCATACCCGTTTATTGCAATGTTGATATGTTTGAGACCATTAGATCATTGCTCCACCCCTGTTAAATGGTTGACTGATTACATGTGTAGACATGTTTGTGCCTGACTATATTAATTTTTAAGATAAGATTGTTGATGTTCAACACAACTAAACGAAGTACATGATAATCATTGTTTTGTGGTTCATAAAACCACACATTGCACCCAATCATAAGCCTACTGTATCTCTTTCACATTCAGCAGCGCCTAGACCTAGCCAGTCCTTTTCCGTTGTTGTGACAGACGATTGGACTGACCACAGCACGAGAGATCGGGTCCATCAGTAGACCTAGTGTGGACTATCGGGCCCACTTTCAATCTGATTCATTATTGCATTCCAATACTTTAACATAAGGTGTTTAATAATCTTAATTAAAATGATCATGAAATATATTTATGTCAGTGTAGTACATCAAACATCAGCAAGTACAAACAACAGCCATGGGCTAAAATGATTTGCCTACACGATCTTGTTGGGCCCAGTCGTCATGAATATAGGCCTGATGATCGTCTTTGTGCCCGATTGTCTGAAATGAGGAAATTCCATGACGTTGGTCTCCCTGGTCAAACCAACATCATGAAATGAAAAAATTCCATGACGTTGGTTTGACCAGGGAGATCGCTAACAACAGGTTTTGATAATGTTTAGTAAATCCTATCAAATATTACAGACTTTATGAATCATGGACTATAAAAATGCAATTTTAATCTGTATTAAATTTGTATTTTCTTTCAGTCCGCAGGTCATATCACATAGGCCTAGACGTATGAGAATGAGGAAAAATAATATGTCGACGAACCAAACATGCACCCATTATGTTTCCCTAATCCAGTCAACAGTCATGACATTCGTTCTTGGTTTTGATTTACTTGATACCGTCACTGAAATATTACAGACCCTCTTTAAATTTATATTATTTTTGCGGGAAAGCTAAATTAGCCGTATTAAGAATTTACTCTTACGAGATTTCATAATTAGTCCTGATGATAGGCAATACTGTACACTACACTACATGTGTGTTAAATTAATATTATTTCGTGTAACAAAAAATTGTATATACCGGTATATTTCTTTTCAGCTGAAAATTCAAATGTTGTCCTGCAAAAGTTTAATGAGTCGTACAAGTTGCTTAATAAGCCTTCTCTAACATCACTGGCTCAATGGCTTGTCGGGCAGTGGGACACAATTAGGCCTACGCCTGAACCAAGAAAATCAATTGGCCAGTCCAGATTTCCTTTAAAAATAAAATATCCCCCTGTTCGGGCAATGGAGCTAAAATCCCCATGTCGGACAGCTAAGCACCCCCATCCCACATCAATCCATGTGCATATTTCCTTGTTGGTACATGTGTAGCCGTATTTTGCAGTGCTGGCCTAGAAGCTATGCAGACAATGCTGGCCTCTGATTGGCTCTTTTTTTCCATACATTCCCTTTGTACACTGACAACACAGGATAATAGTTTTGTCAAGTAGGCCTATTAGGTTAAATCACGATTTCATCACAACACTACCCACTTTAGATTTTTGTAAATGTTATTTGGGCTTTAAACCAGCAATCCATCATCCAGTATCATGGGCATATTGAAGATTCCATAGGGCTTTGATTGATTAAGCACAAATCAAAGCTGATTCAACATGTCCTTCCCCTTGACATGCTACACTAAATAACCTCTGAGTGATCAACACCACTGTTCAATACATTAAACAGTGTACTATACATAAGTACAGTAATGGTAAATGTAAAAAAAGAACTAGGCAGACCCACTGGCCAGTGGCCCAGGGGTAGTTATTTGTTTGCCCTTGCATACAGTATATGTTTTTCAAACCTGTGATCTTGTGAAGTACTACAGTGCAGTTTTGGCAGCGATAAAACTTTCTGTATTTTTGTATGATTTCACTAAATTTACTGAATGTATAATAATAATACTAATAAACATCCTAATACAATTGTACAGTACAGTACTCTTATAAACATATGTATTGACTTTAAAATATTGTAATAAACATGTTAAATTTACTGTATGATAGTCTTTTGACCTGTTGCTGCATGATTAAAAGTTTGTTTAAATTTACTGTATGATAGTCTTTTGACCTGTTGCTGCATGATTAAAAGTTTGTTGTTGTACCTTTAACACCATGTTAAAATTCTCATGCCATGGCTTTGGTAACTAATTATAAGCCTATTTTTGTAAAATAAGGATGGTGTGTATTCCTGATACATCCCGGCCGGATTAGTCCACCGGTTAAACATATGACATTCGTGTAGTAGTAGCCTAGGCAACACTCACCAAAGGCCTTGCCTTGACAAGCTAGTGGTGGCTTAGTCCTACCTCACACATTCTTCACACATGTGCGACACTTGAATTAGCAGCATCACAAGACAGACAGTTTTTTTTTTACAACAAAGCACATTAACAAGATTGTGTTACGCCTATGTGCTAAACAATGTTGAATCTATGGCAATTACTTTTTTCTGTATAAACGAAGCCTAGGACTATCCATGTCGAGTAAAAATGCTAAATTCTAGTGCTAGGCCCAGCCAGAAAGTCTCAGTGAGAATAAACGTGTTTCTGTCATTCGGAAATCGGTGGAGATGACGCCTAAGATATAGAAGTAAAAATATTAAATGAAATTGTAAATTTACTAAAAGAGTAATGGTTGAAATATTCATTTATACTCACCAGTAATAACAGATTTGATCTTGGCATTGTGCCCAACAAATTCAACTTCATCCCCTTTATTGACAACTCCATGTTCAACTCTTCCTGTTACAACAGTCCCACGACCTATCAAGGATAATTGCATTGTATCATATCCTACCAGAAAACAATTATTCAAATATATTAAACTTACTACTAATGTGCATACAAAGTTCAAATTTGACAAAATCTTGAGGGATTATTCCATGTAAACATATCAGATAGTCTGACATCAAAGTACATTTTATTATTCATTTCCTTTTATTCAGCTTTACACTGGAAACAACAAATAAATAAACTTGAGTTCCAACTATTAGTAGAGTTGAAAAGCAAGCTTGGTTTTCAATATGCAAGGGCCCTAGACAATAAAGTTATTTTATCTTATCTTATCTTAATATGCAAGGGCCCTGGACAATAAAGTTATCTTATCTTATCTTAATATGCAAGGTCCCTGGACAATAAAGTTATTTTATCTTATCTTATCTTAATATTCAAGGGCCCTGGACAATAAAGTTATCTTATCTTAACTTAATATGCAAGGGCCCTGGACAATTAAGTTATCTTATCTTATCTTATCTTATCTTAATATGCAAGGTCCCTGGACAAGGACAATAAAGTTATCTTATCTTATCTTATCTTAATATGCAAGGGCCCTGGACAATAAAATTATCTTATCTTATCTTAATATGCAAGGGCCCTGGAGAATAAAGTTATTTTATCTTATCTTATCTTATCTTAATATGCAAGGGCCCTGGACAATAAAGTTATCTTACCTTATCTTATCTTAGTATACAAGGGCCCTGGAGAATAAAGTTATTTTATCTTATCTTATCTTAATATGCAAGGGCCCTGGACAATAAAGTTATCTTATCTTATCTTAATATGCAAGGGCCCTGGACAATAAAGTTATCTTATCTTATCTCAATATGCAAGGGCCCTGGACAATAAAGTTATCTTTTCTTATCTTATCTTAATATGCAAGGGCCGTGGACAATAAAGTATCTTATCTTATCTTAATATGCAAGGGCCCTGGACAATAAAGTTATCTTATCTTATCTTATCTTAATATGCATGGGATCTGGACAATCAAGTTATCTTATCTTATCTTAATATGCAAGGGCCCTGGACAATAAAGTTATCTTACCTTATCTTATCTTAATATGCATGGGATCTGGACAATCAAGTTATCTTATCTTATCTTAATATGCAAGGGCCCTGGACAATAAAGTTATCTTATCTTATCTTAATATGCAAGGGCCCTGGACAATAAAGTTATATTTTCTTATCTTAATATGCAAGGGCCCTGCATTCAAAGGACCTATCCAGAGTGTCAACCAAACTTAACAACTGACCAATCAGAATACAGCCATGAATATGTATATGCAAAACAAACACATATGTTCTCCACAGACATGTTTGCATGTTTTTATACTGTTGTGTTGTGGGGTGTTAGCAACAATATCAAAGGGAAGGTTCATTCCTGCCAGTCACAGGATGCTTAATGCACACATAAGTCTCATAACAGGACTTAGTTTGTTTCAAGCATCTTGTGTCTGTTTGTCTTGGGATTGCCACCTATGAGTAGGTAGTGATATATTCAATATTGGCATTCCTTAGCGCATGTCCCTAAAAATAAAGAAATGTCTTCAAACAGGTTCGCTCTAAACTTTCAAAACAAATTCTTTACCAGGGGTAAAAATGCCTTACTCGGGATATTCACCAAAACAAATGCTTTATGCATCGTTATAAAAGTTGTTGTAAAAGTGGCTTATTGTCATGTTTCTGCCTTAAAAGTAGGCTCTGGACAATGGTTTGAAACTAATGCAGCAACCATTCGATTAGTGAATTTGTAACACTCTTGAGTAGGGACACCTGAATTAGCTATTTTTTGTTATTGCACTATATAAAAAAACAAAAACAAAAAACAAAAACACCAACCTGGAATTGAATACACCATCTCTACTGGCATCATGAATGGCTTTTCCACATCACGGAGCGGTAAAGGAATCCATTCATCAACAGTGTCCAACAGCTTCAAGATAGAATTCCTACCAATTTCCTCATTTTTATCCTTAACATTTAAAAAAAATTAATTAATAAACTGTTATAGGTTTTTATTTATTTATTTACAACATTCATAACATAACACAGTACTTGAACATGCAACTTGAATTGATTTTAATTTCAATGGTGTGAATTACCTACAAAAGTCTGACGGTACTAACTGGGGCCGAAGCAGGATTTTGCTGTGCTACTGTAGGTAAAACTGCAAGCAAAGTTGAAAAAATGTGAGGCCTGGTGGATGATATGTAAAGCATCCAAGGATAGTTTTTGGAAATGATATATGAATTAAAGCCACTATCTGTGCTTTTCACTTTTAAGTTTTCACTTTTGGGTACAATAGACAACCGTTCTGTTATGACACAAATGGATGGGCTGTGTGAGTGTATCATATTAACTTTGATTTATTTGACATCAACATTACAATAAAATATAAATTATTTCTATATGCAATAAAGGGGGGTAGGATCTCACCCACTGCACACACATCCTCACCCCCACCACCCCCGGATTTGAACCAGGACAAATGGCTAAAATCTCCAGCTGAAACATGAAGAAGAGCAGCAGATGTAACCAAACGTGGAACAAAATTCAGGTGCAGATATTCAGAGTTCAGCAAAATCACAGCGTTTACCACAGATGGACCTTTCTGGAATGTCAATCAAGCTTAACAACTGACCAATCAGAACAGAGCTAGGAATATGCATGTGTCCTACAAACACATATGTTGTCCCAAAAAAAGCCATGCTTGCATACATTTATGTTATTGTTTTGTGGGACCTTAGGAACACTATCAGGCATGAGCAAACCCACTTGACAACAAGAATTTTAGGGACCACTTGTCCGTGGACAAGCACTTTTAGAATAGGCTACTTTACCATGTAATGTGTAAGGCTTTTACAGTATGTATAAAAGGTCCGAATTTTGACAATGCCCAACATATTTTATTGACAAATTGTCAGCGCACAAAGAGATATCAAACAAAAAACCGACTATGCCATAGTTACGCACGGAACTGCGTGTATCAAGTTAAGAGTCCCAAACACTCCCGCGATTTATTGACGGTTTAAAAGAAAAAATGTAGGCTTACTCACTATAAAATTTGTTATTTTCTGCAGTAAAGATTGAAAATTAATTCTTAATTGTTAAATGTTAGCCAGATCTGTCATATGTGTACAAATTAGACCTACAGCAGGTACATATTTTCGCACGATACCTTGTTAGTCATCAGCCGTCTGGGCCCGCTGCACGTGGTCTGTTTACAATATAAATTTGCACTGGTCTGGTCTATAAATACCAGACATATTTAAAGACTTTGGGCACACAGTTATTAGATGATTATTTGAGTTGGACGACATGAAATGTCTGGACTTCAAGACTAGTAATTACTGTACTTTCGAGTACGAATATGAACACCAGCCATTAGACCGACTTTGAAAAAAGCCTAGTCTATTTTGTTTGCGCGTGTGGGGAAGGCAATCTAGACAGGTTAAGAAAGGGTAGTTAAATTGGCTTTTAAAGTTGTTAAAGTAATTTTAAAATCATCCACTGCTAAGTGATGGAGAAAATGTGAATATAAAACTCAAATCTTGTAAAACGTGTTTTATAAATCGAAGGTTTTGGGTACACTGTAGGAGTTATATGCCTACAGTACTTGTCTTTCGTTGAGAGATAAGCAATTTTATTTATTTTGCAATAAATAAAATGAGAATGTGTCAGGCTGTAAAATATTCCCTGCGTAAATATTAGGCCCAAAAATGTGTTGCCGGATTTCAAAAATATATGAGCCGATTTCCACAGATATTTTGCAGCAAATTGAGGCCTTGATAGTAGGAACACAAGTATTTACGATTCTGCATCTATTTTTCTAGAGGTCTTTCCATGCTATTTGAATTTGTATCCTTCTCAAAAAAAAAAGACCAAAAAAAATACATTTGAAGTTAGTATTAGAATTGATTAAGATCTGCAAACGGGTACTATGATAAGGCCACCCCCCTCCCCAAAATAACGTCATAAAACACAGTCCTGTGTGTGGCTTAGAACTCGCGTATTGTGGGAATCAACCATGCCTGAGAAATTTTTACTCTCAGTTGTCATGACGACGGCTTTTAAGCACGCAATAAGAAAACGATCAACACACTCTTACATACATAGAATATTATTAATAATGTTTATTTTATTTGAATTTTTCCACATTATACATTATTGAAATTCTTGTAAATTACAAAAAGAAAGAAAAATATTTTGCATGATCAATGCAGTATGCATGTAGGCCTATTAATGTTGTATGGCCACAGCAAAAATACTTTACTTTTGTGTTATTTTTTATGATTATTGCACAATAATACTGGGACAAGTAAAATTGTCTTCAGGACAAGTGCATTTTTCAAGGGTACTTGTCAACTTGACAACTTGACAAGTGAAAAAATATGAAATTCCCTTATGCCTGACTATCCAAGGGGCAAAGCTTAGCAAAAAGGTCCATTGTACTAGACTGCCCTCTAACAAATTAAATTTACCTCAAGTGTTGACAATGCAGAACCGCTTATGATTGGTGTGTTTTCGCCATCATATCCATATTCATTCAACACATCACGCATTTCAAGTTCCACAAGCTCCAGCATCTCCTCATCCACAGCATCGGCTTTGTTTATGAAGACAACTATCTTATCCACACCAATCTGAATAAAAGAGAAGACTATTTATCAGTAAAATAAAAAATATATATAACATGCTGCACCTCTTTCTGGATAGCATTGCGGTCACGGACACTGTGCTTAACAAACCTAACAAAAACTCATGTGAGGTCAAATTGAGGATAAAATATGATTGTCCATTCACCAACTGTCCATTCACCAACTGTCCAATAGTAAATAATGTTCGCATATGCCAAGGAATAAAAGAGAAACCAATAGCGGAGGAGTCAATATCACAGTTCCAGATGTAGTTAGCGGCAAATGGGAATTGCCAACAAAGATTCTAGTTAGTCATAGTCCAGAAATCAAGTCACCCATCTTGATATAATGTAATGCCATAAACCATCCCATGCCGATCAGATATGGATCTGGGTGTTCCTCCAGCATAAATCTTGAAACTAAATACTCCATCCAACTATTACTTAACTTCTGATTAGGACAGCAGCCTACCAGATCTCCCGTCAGTGGAGTAAGCTCGATCAAAACTGAACAGTGTAGATGCTGCCCCATATAAGTTAGTGCATCATGTTAGCAGGTAATCTGATGGGATGGCCGGATGGCTGATAGCCACGGCCCTCAGGCTGAGGTACTGCTCTCCTCTCACTGGACATCTCAATTTGATTCAACTTGCCAATTCAATTTCATTGTTTGTGGTATACCAAGTGGTGGGCTTCTTTTCAAGGCTACTTTTGCAAAGTAAAGAGGACGTCTTCTTTTCAAAATAAATACTGTATATTTTGGAAATTACTACTACAAAACAATAAATAGGGCCAATGTAACATCAATCTGTATCATGGAGTGTATTAACCAGCACCTAAATTACTGTATAATACAAGCGTGTTTTTAATTTATTTTGTTTCTTTGAAATTCATGTAGGCCTAAAATGTATGTACTGTACTTTCTCAAAAAGAAGCCCATGCTATCTTGACAATGGGCTTCTTTTCAAGGCTACTTTCGGAAACTAAAAAAGGGGGCTTCAATTTGTTTGGGTAGACAGGATACCTCCCTTTATAAGGGCCCGTTTACGAACTTTCGAAAACCGGATAACTCAAGCCTAAGGTGATAATTAATCATTCCTCAACTAGCTGTAATTACTAAAACATCTGGACTTTCCGGGCTTATCCTTTCCGGATAAGTTTGGAGGGTTGGAGGCTGCCTTGGGCGCAATAGCCCACAGCATGGTGTCAACTGACCTTACTTTTATGAGAAATCTATTCAGATTAAGCACTTGAGTCCGCAATCATCCATGCCTTAGTCCAGTGACATCGCTAGAGTAGTCCTCACTTTATAAAATTTATTCTATCCTGAATAAACAAGATGAATTTAATATTATGATGAATGAAATTGGACCCGACATTTGTTGTGTCACGGAATCATGGATAACAACGGATACTGCCCCTGAACTTTATGACGTGCATGGTTATTTTACATACAGCAAACCGAGGTGTAACAGACCTGGTGGTGGAATCCTTACATTTTTTAAGGATGGCCTACAAGTGAAACCTATTGAAGGAATAATTGTTCCTGAGCATATTGAAGCTCAGTGGTTCATTGTAAATCACCCACGATTTCCTAGAAGATCCCCCTATCTTATTGTTGCCAATGTTTATCTCCCTTCCGGACCCACACAGTGGAAGGAAGCTAATGTAGTTCCGGTCCCTAAACAGTACCCTGCTACTATTTCAAAACTAAGACCAATTTCCCTTACCTCAATTTTGGCAAAGGTAGCGGAAGGGCGGGTTGCAAAAAGCTTAACTGAATGTATTAAAACCAAATTAGACAAACGGCAGTATGGTAATCAGAAAGGTGTGTCTACCACCCACTGTCTAGTTGATATCTATCATAGTGTTATGAGTGCCTTGGAGAGGCCAGCCACTACCAGTACACTGGTACTGACTGACTTCTCCAAGGCCTTTGATTTGATAGACCACAACATTGCCATTATAAAACTTTTAAACATGGAGGCCCAACCTGAAATAGTTCAGTGGATTGTTGACTTTATCTCTGAAAGAAAGCAAAGAGTTACCTATAAGGGTGTTCTGTCAGAATGGACCACTCTTACAGGAGGAGTCCCCCAGGGAACTCTGTTAGCCGTTTTATTATTTTTAGTTTGTATAAATAACTCCTTGAATGATGTTGGCACCTTGGGGGTCGATGCCTGGAAATATGTTGACGACCAAACAATTGGCGAATCCAAACATTTAGAAAGCCCTAGTAACTTCCAAACTATTCTTGATGATCTCCATGAATGGGCTACTAATAACAAACTTAAACTCAATCCTTCTAAATGCCAGGTGATTAGATTTTTCTTTGGTCGTCGACCCCTTCCAGACATCGACCTCCACATTGCTAACGAAACTCTTCCACTAGTTGACACAGTCAAATTATTAGGAGTCCTAATAGACAATGATCTTAAATGGAAGAGTAACACAGATGCTATAATTGCGAAGGTAAATAGAAAGCTATTTATTTTGATAACATTAAAAAGAGCCGGACTTAATTACAATGAACTTCTGCATGTTTTATGTTATGTTCGGCCGGTTCTTGAGTATGCTGCACCGTTGTGGCACCCTGGCCTCACTAAACAACAAAGCACATCCATAGAGCGCGTTCAAAGGCGCGTATGCCATATTATCCTTGCCGATAATTTTTTTAATTATGAGGATGCGCTACTAACTCTTGGACTGGAGGGTTTGTCTGACCGCAGGACCTCACTTTGCAAAACATTTGCAAAGAAAACTGCAAATTCGGAAAAATTTAAGCACTGGTTCCCAATTAACAATACTACACATAATATGTCATTACCAAATAAAAAACAATATAGTGAATACAAATGTACTAAATCCCGATACAAAAATAGCCCGATACCTTACATGGCACGAATTCTCAATTCATTGTGAGGTCCTGTGGCGGATGAACCCCCCAGTCTGAATAATCTGGATATTATATATAGCTCAGGAGTAAAGTGTGATGTAAAATTGTTTTTTATTTTTGTATTTTTAGTGTTTTTTAACTGTGTCATATTTTTATATACTGTATATTTATTAGTCTTATCACAAATTTTATAGATTTTATTGTAATTACCCAATCTACAATTCAGCTTAATGCTGCCAAAGATTGTGTTTTTGATGTTTTTTATCTCAATAAAATATACCCAAATATATATATATATAAATTATATTATCCAAATATTAAGTTTATTTTTACAACGATATACCCCTATATACAATGGCTGCAGCTGAACAGAGTGGGTGGACTGACGAAGCAACCCAAACGTTAATTAGCATATGGGGAACGACATCCATACAAAATGGTTTTGACGGAACCCGACGGAACAACGCCGTTTATAAAGAAATCTTATCTTATAAAGATGCGGGAAATGGGTTATAACTTTACGCACGCACAGATAGAATACCAAATGCAAGAACCTGCGCAAAAAAATACACCCAGGAAAAGGACTCCAACGGGAAGTCACGACCCCCCCCACAACAGAATGGCCGTATTTTGAGATGATGAACGAAATGACCCATCTCTTGTCCCCCACAAACTGTTGACACGTCGTTGTCGGCTCTGAACACCAGTGGAACTAGTAGTAGTAAGTCCGTAGGCTATTTTATTTTCCTTTGTTTTTTTTGTAATTTTTTTTTTTATTTTCCCAGTTGGCTAGGCTCTAGTTTCTAAGGCCTGGGTTTTTTAGAATTGGTTGGAGTTCGAGCGTAGGCAAGGCGAGGCAATTCGTTGTTGAATTGCCTTGTTGGGCTGAGGAAGGCTAAGCGATGAAAGGCCTATACAGTCCGTATCCGAATAACTTTGGGTTCGTAAACGAGCGATCTAATGACCTACCCTCTGGGCATTATGTCATTTTTGACTTATCCGGTTTCGTTGAAAGTTCGTAAACACAAACAACCTAAGACAACAAGAATGTACAATACACTGATTAAATCCCATGGGGAAAACAACCTACCAACAAATAATATGGTAGATGCAAATGGAATGCATCTTAGGTTAATGACCTACAGTATGCTAGGCACTGTATTATTTTAATTTACAGGAAATTAAAAAAAAAAGCAAAATGCATTGATTCAAATAATAAATTTAAAGGCTTGATAAAAGAAAAAATACACACTGCTACATCCTCCGTTGTTTTAGCAAATTTCGTCCCGACATTACATTTAAGAAAAATATGAGAGATAACCCAGTTCTAAAATACTGTAATCAAATAATACCTAGTGTTGTAGTGTAATTGCCTCTAATTGTATTCAAACTTCCAAAGAAAGCATTCAATGGAAGCACAGAAACCTCAGATTGTGGCATATCTAAGGGAGGGCTCCCTGTCATCTCCCATTGAAAATGTCAAAGCAAAAAAATACATACTACTACATACTGTATGCATAACGTAAACTTACAGAATGATAATAAATTGTTACCTGTTTAGAAAGAAGCAAGTGTTCCCTTGTCTGTGGCATTTGTCCATCCGTAGCAGCAACAACTAAAATGGCTCCTTCCATCTGAGCTGCACCAGTGATCATATTCTAACATACAGTAGACAAATTGCTGTTGTTACGAGCTACACTCAGTAATCATATAGTAACCCACAGTACACAAATTGCTTGGGGTCCCAAGTTGGAAGAAGCCGCTAACAAGAAATCTGCATAAATGAGCTTTGTTAACAAAATCTATTCTATTTTTATGTGCATGGTGATACCTTTGGCACTGACGTCTGGGAGACAATTAAGAGTACAGTAGTAAAAACATGCAAATATGGGTTATTATTAAGAGTACAATAGTAAAAACATGCAAATACCATGGGTTATTATTAAGAGTACAGTAGTAAAAACATGCAAATATGGGTTATTGTTAAGAGTACAGTAGTAAAAACATGCAAATATGGGTTATTGTTAAGAGTACAGTAGTAAAAACATGCAAATATGGGTTATTATTAAGAGTACAGTAGTAAAAACATGCAAATACCATGGGTTATTATTAAGAGTACAGTAGTAAAAACATGCAAATATGGGTTATTATTAAGAGTACAGTAGTAAAAACATGCAAATATGGACCTTATTATTAAGAGTACAGTAGTAAAAACATGCAAATATGGAACTTATTTTCTGGAAGATTTATATTTTCATTTCATTTCATTTATCTGGTCTCAGTAAAATACACAAAAAATGGTTACAATACAACCAGTGGTGGATTCAAGAGGGACCAGCTAGGGTGGCCCCCCTTTCCCACCCTAAATTTTTCAAAATTGGTAGTGTAGACCCTCTCTCTGTGAAATTTCTCCATGGGCCCCCTTGGTCTTAGCCTAGGTTCCAGGCCCTAATTTTGGATTACTCACTCTGTATTGCAGTTAGTGCGCACTATACCTAATTTAATTGGCATCCCATACTCCATTTTTTTTTTTTTTTTCAGATTAGGGCCTACGAAAAACTCCCTAATCATTCATGTGTAGGATCACATCAAATTTGATGTGTGATATCATATGCATGATGTGATTTGCTAACATCATGCATATTAATTAATCTTGGGAAATTTTCTAAATTGAAGATGCAGATGTCTTGACTAGGGCTAGGCTAGCCCAGGTCGCTTCTGCCCAACTACTGGTACTTGAATTAAAACAGATATTAGTTCTGGCCTGCTGAACGACTAGACTAGATAATCATAGGAACTTACAGTTAAACCAGCTCACTGCTAAGCTACACAGATTTAGGCCTAGAGTACAGTAGAACATTGTTAAAAAGGTACTGTATTAATAAAGTAAGAACTTAAAAACATGCCCAAGAAAACTCTCTAGACTCCAGAGACCTGGGCCATCATCCTGGAAAGTGGTGTTGTGTTTGCAATGTATTGTACTGTATGCCATCTATTGTAGCCTAAGCCTAATTGTTTTTGCTATTGCCCACAAGTCCTACAGTACTATGGTCTATTCTAAATATTTAACAAATCTTGCTCTACGGCATTTGCTAAAACGAATGAAGCCTAGACCATCCTAGGCAAGGCCTAGAAAAGCATAATAGTTATGAGATAACAATGTGATTGACGTATAAAACTGAAAAAATAAGCAATGCTGAAAAAATTCATAAAATGTTTACAATACATTTTATTCTATTAAAGAAATGTCTACCAGGAGATACTGTAATAACCCTACATAAACTTCATTAACCACAATCAACTTATTCATCTCCATATCACCAAGTATCGCAAAGAGCTGAGTGAAGAGTGTCAGTGTGTGTACTAATTGGTACTAATAAGAAATCATTACACACAGCTAATGCACATGCACAGTGATCACTGAGCAACCAGCACTTTGATGGATTTATTATATACAGTAGGGCCTATAGCAACCACTCTACAACCAGCAGTTTGATTATAAAAAGCCATAGAAAAGGTGATGGATGCCACAACTGACTTATACAGTAAAGCAATTATAGTCAAGTAATTTCCTACACAATAGGAAATAGAAGCCTTAGAAGCCATTTTTTCAGGAAATAATGGCTCCTTTGACTTCTATTTCCTGTGTACTCAAAACCGAAAATATATTGCTTATAGTCTCTTATTATTTACATACATGTACCTTAATATAATCTGCATGTCCTGGACAGTCTGTATGAGCATAATGTCTATTTGTGGTCTCATATTCCACATGTGCAGCATTAATTGTAATTCCACGTTTCCTTTCTTCTGGTGCTTTATCAATGTCATCATACTTGTGAAATTTTGTAACTCCCTCTTCGGATAAGACTGTTAAAGAGATTCAGAGTTCAAGTAACATTATTAATTTTAAATAACTCTTATCAACGATAATATTCCAATTTGAATTCATCGTTCCCAATATGTGCATGGATTACCAGGCCTAATATAAATGAATCTATTAATAGTCATGTTCAGCCGTCCTTCCACGTTAAGTTAAGTTACAACAGCCAAAAAGTTTTATGCTCGCATTACTTCGATGAATGTTCTCATGATGCTTACCAAGTGTATAACATTTTTTCTTACTCTTAACGCTAATTAAAAGCTTAAAAGTAACAATGCAAATTTCCTGCCTGGAAGTGATAATTACTACTTGTCTCTCAACGGTTACAGTATATTTTGCACACAAATTGTTGAAATTGCAAACAAAATTGTGAAAACATCGTGAAAAGGTTTAAACATCACAGGAAATGTTATTTTGGCACTCATTTGTAGGTAATTATATTTTGAAAAAAGGTCTGGTCATATTAAAGGTTGTATTTACTTGCGACCTTTGGAGTAAGTGCGTCTACACAGTGGTCTGAGCATGAATGCCTTACATTCCTTGTGTACGTACTGTACGTAAGGAAAATATGCTATTAAGTGAATACCACCATGATGAACATGCAAAATTACATTGGTTAGTCATTAATGTAGAAAGCCAAATGGTCCTAAATTATTCATCCGATTATCACAAAACAATTACACATTACACTGCAGATATTTAATGAGGATTCGTAAGACTTGCCCTTTGTAATTGCTGCTGTGAGCGTAGTCTTGCCATGGTCAACATGCCCAATGGTTCCAATATTAACATGTGGCTTCTTCCTCTCAAACTGAACTTTTGCTTCTGCAGCATATAGACGTGTTGCTGTTCCTGTTAAAGTGTTACTTAAAAATAGTGGTTCAACCTGAAAAAATCAGTCAAAATCATCTAATATACTTTGAAATTTAAAATCTGTACAATATTAAGCAAACAATGACTTATGTTCTAATTCTATTATATAAAAGTTTAAATTCTATATTTTTTATTGTAGTCTAGTATTCTTTGTTTACACTGAATGGTCCTAGTCATCCTTGCACAGTAACTTAATCAATGTTCTAGAGTGGATTTAACAAAGAAATGTTTACAGTATTTCACAGTTTAGCAGTTACAAATAATAATTTAAAAGATGAAATTTTAGTTTTTATGATAGTTATTTTTTGTTCTGGTTATGGTGGTTTTAGAGTCCTCTACCTAAGGACTTCAAAAGTAGGAGTATAACAGGAGGGGTTGAAATAAGGTTGAATAATAGGAAAAGATCACCACTGCAGTTTAAGCGTCATGAGTAATCTTGCCGTACCAATTTAGGCCCCATGGACCTGACAGGTAAGAAACTCAATCACACAAGCATCTGCTTTGCTTAAGCCCCCTTCACACTGAACTTGTTTGAAGAACGTTTCTGCCCGTTCTGAAAATTTCATGAAACGGGATGAGGACGGGTTCAAACGTGAAATTTTGGCTATTACTACAACACAACACAGTTTGAAGTAAGTCCATTACGATTGCAGACGGTTTGTACAACGTTCGCACAACATTTAAAACGGGAAGACGTTACGCTCAATGTCGTTTATAGTCCGTTCTTAACAAGTTCCAATCCATCCTCAACCCGTTTAACCCTGTTCACAGTAAGTTTCAACCCGTTCTAGGAAGTTTCTACACGGTTCGCACTACGACGTGTCCATTCAAACCAGTTAATGCTCAGTCTTGCCCGTTTGCACTGCGTTCTCAAGCAGTCTTTAACACGTTCAGAACGGGGTTCTGGGTCATGTTCCTGTCCGATTTGCTGTAAATACGACCCATATCTAGCTTGTTCGCATTTCGATTCAGTACTTGCTATAGTAAACATGCCAAGGAAACAGAAAAGGAAAGGGAGAGGAACCTCAAAGAAATAAATTGATGATTTTCCTGATGACGATGCTGGCCCATCTACCTCTGTTTTTCTTTTTCTTCTCGTTCTCTGATCTTTTCATATTGTTGCCCTGCTTCTACTATCAATTTCAGAAAACCAACATTTATTATATTTAGTGTTGAGGGCATTTGCACTTGCTTCATGGTAAAATAATATATCAATTCAGACAGAGAGTTGATTTCCAAATGAGGAGAGCATCATTGATCTGCACTATTTATAACAAAAACTTTGCTGATTTGACTGCAAAGGGGGTGGACGTAGTTAAAATGTAGCAGAAACAAGTAGATCTGACTAAAAACGGATTTAACGTACTGACAATGTAAAAGAAACAAGTAGATCTGACTAAAAACGGACTGAACGTACTGACAATGTAGTAGAAAGGAGTAGATCTGAATAAAAACCGAGCAAGAACTTTTTAGAACTGAATAGCAACGCATCACAAACGTATAAACTGGTTAACACAGCTTAAGAACACAGTGAAGACGTAATGGAATGTAGTTAGGTCTGTCTGAGAACGGGCAGGACGGGGTGGAACATAACAGCATCTGCATTAGCTCGTACACCTATTTTTCCCCCGTTCGCACAATGTTCAGCTCGTTTTTGACCTGTTCCATGTTCGCAGTACGGCAATTCCGTTTTCAGTACAGGAATCTCGTCCGAAATACGACCATACTCAGTCCTATTTTTGAACGGGTAGAATGCAATCAAATTTTAAACATGGTTGACGTTCTGGACCACCATTCTCGTCCTTGCCCGTTCATACCGTTCGTACTAAGATTGTATTCGGTCTCTACTACGTCCATTCTGTTCATATCCCGTTCGTCCCCGTTCCACCCCGTTCTCCAGAATGTAGTGCGAAATAGTTCAGTGTGAAGGGGGTATTAGGTTAAACATTTGCAGACAGCTTTGATATGAACTTGTAGTCATTTCAAGTAAAGCTGATATACTTAATAGTTTTTCCATACAGTTCCATTATTTTTTTTTACCAATTTTCACATTTGACAATAAAGAAACAAAACTACATCACACCTGTATTCCTGTTTTCTTCAAAGTTTTTGATAAGCAACATTTTAGACCTGCAAAAGAAATTCGAAGAACAAATTGTTAAACTTGGTATCACCTTGGTTACAGTAGGTTCACACTAGAACCTAATATCAAGTTCGGGAGCTAACTGTTAGCCAGATCCATTAGCACACATGCGAGAACACCCTATCAGTTAGCGCTAACCGGTTCCAGGAAGTAGATACGCTATCGGTTAGAAAACGCTTCTAGTTAGCAAGTTGACCTCATTTCTTTCATTAACCAATCAGACTTCACGCATTTCCAATTGAGTAATTACACAGGGATTCCCACCATTATCTTCTTGATATCTGGATTGGGGATTTTCTTGTACAGTATGAACGCAACTGTGAGCACGTACTGTACGTTATTAATCTGGATCCCACTAACAGTTAGATGGTGTATGTGAACATAGCCTATATGATTGGGAATTGATAATTTCATATTTTCATACTAGGCTTATAGCTAAGTAAGCCTAACCTTTCCAAGAATACTATACAGTAGTTACCAGTATGAACTACGGTAAATACTAATGTACAGTACTCATAGTATATAGCCCGGTATTCAACCGCCGACCTGCAAGCCAACTCCGGCCCATTAAATATTTTGATGCCAGTGCCATTGTTCAAAAATGAACTGTGACTGATGGGGGGAGGGATCCACTGGCAGTGCCAGGGGAGGATCCAGGGAAGGCTTGGGGTCATGACTTCATCGGGGAAAAATATTATTTTTACAGTCTGAGAGTGCCATTTCTAGGCATCTAGACATGTCTATTTTTAAAATTTGCTCACTTCATCCCAAACCATGGTGAGGCTAAGGTACCTATGGACCACTTTTAGGAATCTTGGGCAATGGAGGATTTCTGGAACTGGCACTGTTTTAACTGAGTGGATTTTCTGTGCTCAAAAATGTTTTAGTGTTTTTAGTGCCAACCCTTTTCTTTAAATATGACACTGTGTAACTCCCCCACTTTTACACTGTAATAATGCAACTGCAGCCCTGGTTAATACCGATTCTACCACCACCACAAATGGATACGAGATGGAAATTAAACAATATGCCCATATTGTAACTGTAAGTATTTTTACTTACACAGACAATACCTCAAAATCCAGCTCAAAACAGAAAAACTTTCTCTAAAAATTGGCCGAAAAATATAAATGATATATTTTTAGCAATGTTGCACGGGCCGGATCAAAATCTTTGGCGGGCCGGAGTTGGTAAAACACCGGGAGTACTACTACACAGTAAATTGTCCCTGCTAGCTAGGAGCACATCCACATGAGGGCGCTTGTCAAAATCCCAAATAGGAAAGTGTTGCCTTATCTGAAAAAATTGGGGTCATGGGACCTTTTCTTAGACTCTGATTAGAGTATTACAAAAAAGCAAACAGTCGGCTAATGTTCTCCGATAATTTCCGATTCGAAATATGGAATTCCCACCTTCAAAAACCTTAGCAGTGATATGTTTAGAACGTTTCCAATTTTAATAAAATAAAAAATGAGAGCATCAATGATGCAATAGCCCACTTGACAATAGCTGGCAATGTTTAAGTGTTGTCGGTGGGTGGAGGTTGTGTGGAGTGTTGTTATGTGTATTGAGCATAAAGAAAAACATTTAAAGTTAGAGTTAGTTATATGCATCATCATAGACCTTTTTTGTTATGTTCACTTAACAGTTAGGAAAGGTGTAATGTCGTGTACAGTGATATTAAAGGAAATATGGTTGTTGTAAGGTTTGTTGTATACGTAACTTTTTGAAATATTTTGTACTGTAATTATGAAGATATTTATGTAGAGGTTTATGATATAAGTAGACAGTTTGGTGAGTGAATGGAATTTGTTGCATAGAAGTATTTCATTGTGAAGAAATATATTTTTCCAAAGGCGCATTATTATACAGATATTGCCTGCTTAGAGGTGTAATATAACATTTGATATCCCCGAGGGAATTATATTTTTTTTGAAGGATTATATTTTCCCGAAAAGCGCGCAGCGCTGAGGGAAAATATAGTCCTGACTATAGCCCGACTAGCATTCTACTAGCATTCTACGGGCGCAATGCGGGTGTAATCTGGTGACGTCAGAGACTGGTCACTTTTCAAATTTATATTAACCTACGGGGAAATATAATGTTTCTGATCCTCGTAGCGCTAGTCACGTGATGCCATTTCAACCAATCACGTACTCGTATTTACATAGGCTATGTAATATAATTACGTATATAATTTGTCTTTCTTTGTTAGTTAAACATGCAGCTTTGTTTGAGAAAGGCTAAATAACTTCTTGGCTGACGTCAGGATTATATTATAGGCAATGTTTCAATAACTTAATTGCTGCGAAGCAGCCAATTCATATTCTTGACAGCAATTTGACCTCTGAAAGGTCATTGTTTGACAAAAAACGAGTGCCTATTAAGAAGACTGAAAAGCGGAGTTTCCTTCTTTCGTTCTGCCGGGTAAAATCAATTATTTTAGGCGACGTTTGTAGACTAACCTACTCGTACCAACGTCCGCATGTCGCGCTAGCCTTATCCTACTCTAGGCCTAGACTAGCTAGGATGGTATAGGCCTATCCTTGAAGGGTCGAAGGTCCCAATGAAAAACAACATCGCTCTTCGATAGCTAACATTGTCTATTTAACATCACAATAATTCATTATTAGACCTATAGTTGTTTTTTGAATTGTACTCCACAAATCTCAGCCGATACCTCGCACAACTGGCTAACGTCTCTATCTATTGTGATTAGAGTATTACAAAAAAGCAAACAGTCGGCTAATGTTCTCCGATAATTTCCGATTCGAAATATGGAATTCCCACCTTCAAAAACCTTTGCAGTGATATGTTTAGTACGTTTCCAATTTTAATAAAATAAAAAATGAGAGCATCAATGATGCAATAGCCCACTTGACAATAGCTGGCAATGTTTAAGTGTTGTCGGTGGGTGTAGACTAACCTACTCGTACCAACGTCCGCATGTCGCGCTAGCCTTATCCTACTCTAGGCCTAGACTAGCTAGGATGGTATAGGCCTATCCTTGAAGGGTCGAAGGTCCCAATGAAAAACAACATCGCTCTTCGATAGCTAACATTGTCTATTTAACATCACAATAATTCATTATTAGACCTATAGTTGTTTTTTGAATTGTACTCTATCTATTGTCGTGACGTCATGGCTCGCTGGCTCACACTTGTGATATGTCTCGCACTTGTGATCAAATAACACGCTGGCTCGCACTTTGGCAGTCAACTCGCCCAGAAAACCCGCCCTTGGAAACTTGCCCCATAAAAAAATGTACACTTCCTAGACCATGCAGTCTTCAAAATAAAAATTGTAACCTTTGGTAATCAACTACATTTTCCACATACATAGAAATTTTTGAAACTTTATTAAAAAAAACCTAAACCATAATTCACCACACTATAGACACTTTTTGACAAAAATGAAAAATTAGGCCACGTAAAATAAAACAATTGGTTAGTATCCCCACCCGACCGTCAGAAAAGCCCCCGACCTGAATTTTTTTTTTTTTTTTTTTTTTTACAAAACACTCCTTCTCCCGAAGGCAATTTATATAGGCCTAGGCTTGTTTACCATCCGTCCGAACGCCAGCCGACTGGGCTTATTCCTACAGTTCCATTCCATCATCATCCCATCTAGGCCTAGGCTAGCCTAGTCCTTGCTTCTATCTAGAAAAGGCCTAGTTTTATAGTAGTAGTATAAAAAGAGTGTATTTGTATACACGGTACAGCCGATGCAAAGCATTAAGATTTACTCGGGATTAGGTTTATATTAGCAAACTAAACTCCGATCCGATGCTTACGTCTCATGCTTTGTGCAGAAAAGCCAAGTCAGCCAATCAGCGCGTTGGTATTTCCATCACTTTGGAAGTAGACATCCACAGCGCGCGAAAGAGAAACAAGGAGGAACCGCTCTGTGGTGACCGGAGACAAGACAACGAACATGGCTGCGTCCATCAGTTTAAAACTGTGGCACGTTCACTTCTTACCTGTGTGCAATATTTCACGAAATAAAATTTTAAAGATAAACTAAATAAAACAAAAATTTCACGCTATTTCATAGGTAGGACAGCATAGATAAATTTATTACTGGAAATATAGTGGCGAGATAGTGCATGCGTATATTAGCGAGCGAGCCATCCGGACGTCTTTTGGACTGCCTACAATTATTTAGAACAGCAACTTTTACCGTGACGGCTTGGCCTAATCAGCTCGGCCTAGCCTTTGGGCCTGGTCTACCTTTAGCAAATTCTTTATTTCTTTAAATCTATCGAATGTTACATGAAACTAAAGGTAAATCATATTTACGTTTGATAAAAACAACATTTATTGATTGAATGTACGTTTTCGTACCAATAATCGATGGGGATTACTAACGATGGGCGTGGCCCGCCATCGGCTCAGTGCCACGCCCACTGGACAGTGCTGGTACAGTGACGTGATGTTTCCAAACAGCTGGTCCAACTAGATGTCAAAGTGTTTCTCAGCATAAACATAGCACATGATACTAGTCAAACTCATTAACAGTATTCACTATTGAGTATTATCACTATATGTACATACTCAATCACATAAACAATTCACATAAACAATCACAAATAGTAATCAATTGTACAAAATGCCAGTTCAAAAATTACGTTTCTGTTTATGAATGGACAATGAATTATTATACGACTATGACAAACTTCAATCTTCTTATTTTGCTGTTGTTTATATTTTTATTTTTAATTTCACATCCAACAGCAATTACATTCGCCACTTAGGATGGAATGCTTTATAAACCTGTTATCGATATCATCAGTTCTGTAAACATACTGTATACAATGTTGCATGTTTTAAAACTTCATATATAGGGATTTCAATATGACTGTTATTCATATAGGCAAAGCTTATCTGCTTGCTATAGATGAATTACATGATTTCTTGTATCCAATTTTGGCCTCTG